GGAAACAATTGGTGACATGTCTCAAAATCGTTCTCAGTGGCTAGCGCAGATGCATCCACTCCTTGTGACTTATGATCTCCAATGAAACTGTTTTGTTCTTCGTTATTACTCCTCCTTTGTCTCACACCTCTGCTCACTGTCTCTATTATGCTTTTCTTGTACTTTCTTCTCTTGCTTCGCGTGCTACATGGAGTGTGGTGACTCGAACTGTCGCACATTTGTGCAAAGTTCTATGTCGAAAACAGACAAACAGATATATAAATAGGTGTGCGGTGTTCATGTTTTGCCTTGCAACAATAACCTGACTATGTATCAGTTTGTATTGATGTCTACACCCTTCAGGAAACATTCTACAGAAATAAAATTGACAAGTCTTTCGATAAAAAGGGGAATCTCTTGCTCCCTTTACAAATACTGGTATGACTTAAATTCACTGAATGTTGAAAAAAAGAGAAACAAGAGAGTCAGTGGTCACACAGTAATGCACATCTGATCTAAGTGGTAAGTAGTTATAATAACAACAAATAAGGAAACTTGATTACAATTGCTTACAGGATTTCATCATTAGCTGATATCAGTTAGAGAACTATTGGACAACTGTTTCGTCCCTATTTGGGACCCTTCATCAGTACGCCCCCGCCGAAAAGGGGTCGAACCCAGAACCTTCTGGCTACACAAGGCGACCTAGCTCGTAGACTATTAGGCCATTCTCTAAGGGACACGATTCAATGACCAGTCCATGAATTCCAAGTTCTGTCAATTCATGATATAGCGCAACCACTAGCCAAAGTGTTCGGCGAGTATTTGTCATCTCACTCGACCTACAAAATATTCTATTCCTCAGGATTACTATTTGATAGTCTAAACGTAGTTCGTCGGCGGTTCAGTGGTGGAACACTCGCCAGCCACAAACGATCCCCGGCGGACACACGCCTAAATCTCGTTTAGCCATTAGTAAGTTTGTTAAAGATGAGTATGAAGGTTGACCGCACAGAACGGCATCGTGTCGGGTTGCAACATTCCACCAAGTACACAAAGGAAGACAAAAGAGATTCGGAAGGAGGATAATACATAAGCAGAAATGTAAAGGACAAAGAACAGGATTCAATGGATATGTGAGATAAGAAATAATGAGTATATATCTGAGCCTTTCAGAACGATTTCAAGGCTTATGACAAATTGTCTCCAGCCAATAGTTGTTATAATGGTTCCAGAGGACGTCAATCAGTCGAGTAGTCTACACCTCCCTACGAGGCTGGCTAAAACTAACTGGCGAAGATATCATGGATTGATTCCACCTTTTCGTTTGACTATCACCAGATCTAATCCAACCTCAGCTAACATTAAACGTTGAGGAAGACGATCGATGGCTAGGGATTCGTAACACGTGTCCTAGTCGTTTCAATCGATGTAGCTTCATAACACCCTATATCTAACCTCAATATTGCTCACCTTATTAAACCACCTAACACGGGAGGTGGAACGAAGATACCCATATCAAAGACAGCTGGCTTTTTCGTATCTTCCACCTTCAATTACAATGTCTCACAACCAGCGATAAAGGAGAAAGGAGGGAACTGCTGAGCAGAACACACATCCTTTGATAGATAGTTGGATATCACATCTACGTCAAAGATGGTGTAAGTTAACAAATCCCACATCAGCCTTTCTACCCGTGCTGAGATTTCGTCAACGATCAGCCCGTTAGTGTTTCCCAAATGAATTCCCCATTTTGAAGCCAGGAGTCCATGGAGTCCAGTCGTATAGCATCCTTTTAAATTTGACAGCAGGAGCGAATCGAGTACCTGACATTCAAAGATTTCTGCTACTTAAGGTACTCATAAGACTTTGAATTCTGTCAACGTCCTCACCTAGGAGCAGGTCTATATCGTCCACATATTCTAAGTCAACGAGATTATCCCCTAGTGGTAACAAGTCAATTCCTGTGTCGCTGAAGCCTGTCAGGGTTAATTCCATTAGTACATCTATGATGAAATTGAAGAGAAATGCGGACGGCGGTCATGTGTGACGGACACTACTGTTTATCATCACAGTTGCCAACTCTCCGTAGGCTCTCATCTTGCTGGCTGGCTGCACGAGTGCGAGTGGGAGTACAGTTGAGTGCCTTGACCAGTGAAATGTATTTCTTCGGAACTCCCTTTCAAGGCCAAACATCGCCATAGTACCTCTTGGTCTACAGAATCGAATGTCGTCTTTAGGTCAAGGAAGAAATATGACGATTGTTGGACGCCGGTTAGTATGTCTATGTTCCGTTCCAGAATCTGTCGAAGGGTGAAGATATGATCAATACACCCTCTTTCTGGTCTAAAGCCTGCCTGGTTCTCTCGTGTTTGTTCCTCCTGTGGACCTGTGGTCTACACATTATTATTGAACATAGAACTTTAGATAACATATATTGGTCAACCTAATCCTCTGTGAGTATCACAGGAAGACTTGTCTCCCTTTTTGTACATCTATCGGGATAATCAATATTAATGACTTACACCAACCCGACGAGACTAGCTCTGATTCCTAGACACTATCTAATAGCTTAGTTTTCTCCACACATCGACTTGTCACCACAGTCCTTAAACACCTCTGGAGTCATTCCGTCAGGTCCTTTTCCTTTGCCTCGTTTCAGATTAGAGACAGTCTTTGTGTGAGGCTAGCAACCCCACCCAATAAAAAATAAACACTACAGCCACTAACATTTCAAAACTAAAGCCTAAGGTCCTATGTGTTCCACTGGCAACACAAAAGAATAAAATAAGTAAGAAGTTTAAAAAGAGAGCATAATATCAGTCCGAATAACTTCGAAGTAGAAAACAGAAATAGGAATAGATTCATTTAGCTTTGAGATGTTGATCACAGTGATGAGGAGTCTTTAGCACGCGATCTAACTTCCCTTTCAAGATTTAGTTTGTCAGGATTTGAGTTGTTTTTCAGTTGTATTGTGGTGAGAGCAGGCTGCTAGCCAATTGGTGGACATTAATTTACATCAATGTCTAGGTCACTAACATTGGCCGTGAGAAAATATGAACAAGACTGATTCAACAACCAATCACAGCAGACTTAACGTGGGCAAATACGATTCGCAGATATATGGCTTAACTTTCTGAGAAACCAGTCACAAGCAGTACAGAATAACCTTGAGCAAGAAACAATGTACATGAAAATATATATAAATACGTGCTGATTTCCGTAATAAATGATCTGTTGCCTGGCCCTTGTCTTCTGTTGTTACAGTATCAGTGAGACGACCCTTGGAAATCAACAGCGGATAGCTGGACAGTTGTTTCATCAGCCTATCAGGACTCATTAAAAGTATCCACCTACAGAGGTTCGAAACCACGACCTTCGGGCTACAAATAAACCTCGTACACTATTCAGAAACTGGGTGAGACTCGACTCAACGTCAAGTTCATGAATTTCAACTTCTGCCAATTTGTAATTTTAGCCGTGGTGGATCCTACTGGTCACGACTTACAACACACACAATGCTTTTATGTGACGAATAGCAAATCAAGGCTAGTTGACCGGAATAATCTTTCTTCAAGTGGATGACAACTCATTTAGTGCTGGTTATCAAAACAACTCAGAACTATGTTATTACAATTTTGTACATCATATTTTTATGCTGTGGTATGTCATGGGTATGTGATCAATTAAATACAATAACAAGTTCAGGTTGGTGCCAAATTTATAATGACAGTACTTCGCACAATGTACAGTGAAGTGTGCTTGTCAATTAACTAACTGATTGAGTGCAGTTCACACACACACAAAACAAATGTGTGACCACCGACCACACTAAATTGGTGTGTGTGTGTGTGTGTGTGTGTATGAATTCAATAACAAGCAGACTTTCTTTTTAGCACGAATCATCACTAACGTGAGACACCTAAAGGTAACCTTGATAGGCAGCATCGTTCCAACTACAAGCACGCGACACCGATGAAGATGTCAAATCCAGTCCCACTTAAATTCAGAAATGTACAAAATGGACCTTAATCACTCTGAAGTATCTGTGTGGAAATCTACCGCATTCAATTCAGCATAAGCAAGACGATATCGAGTTAGTCAGTCCTGCTATACTGGTTCAAAGGTTTGGCTGGTGTGTCACGAAAAACCCTTAGCATTAAGCTGTTTTCCTCTACATTATCCGTCTAAACAAATGTTGTTTGGTCGGAGGATTTCATCATGAGCTGACATCAGTCACAGAAAGCCAGCTGGGAGTGTACTGGACAGTCAGTCATTTCGGCCTAGTTCCCGGACTCTTCGTCAGTACGCACCCACCGACAGGGTTCGAACCCAGGAGCTTCCAGTTACAAGCCGAGCGAGCTCATAGACTATTAAGTGGCCACTGGGACCCGATCCAATGCCCAGCCCAATTCATGACATGGTGCGACCACTTCGCAATGCCTTCTTCTTCGATGAGTTACTGCCTCACCTTCAACCTGTTGCACTCTACTGGTCACGGCTTTGACTAGAAACCCAGGTCACTACAGGGCCTGAACAGGGCCAGTCGTTAGTGAGCATCAGACCACTTTTTTCAAGTAATGATATTTGTAGAGACATTGTTCGATTTGTTGAGGGATTTCAACATGAGCTGACATCAGTCAGTGAACCATTGGAAAACCAGCTGTTTTGTCCTAGTTTTGGACTCTTCATAAGTTAAGTACGCACCCACCCAGTGTCCAGTACTCCCTGCAGGTTTTCCAATGATTCACTAACTGATGTCAGCTCATGATGAAATCCTCCAAACAATCAATAAAACAAAAACCCTACAAAAAACCAATTTTAGCTAGGGAACACAGTGTAGGCAGTTAGTTGTGCATACTACAGTCTATTATGTGTACGTACTGGTGTTGTGTATAGTAGGACAACTGTCATATGATTGGGTATCCATTTGTACGTGTGACAAAGATGACTTAGTGTAGTGTTACAAATGTGATATGCATGCAGGTACATAAAAAGTAATTAATCTGTTCATCACTTACCTTACTCACAGCAAATAAACAGTCCAACAGTGTTAAATGGTAGGTGGATGCGCCAAATGAAGCGTCACTACAAAGAGAATGTGAATACAGTTCATGTGTTTGTTAGTTTATTTTTTATTTTATACATTAGCAGTAAGAAAATAGGCAAAAAATATAAAGCATATCACAAAATGGAATTTTAGAGAGAGAGAGGGAGAAAAACACAACAACTGCAAACCACTACATTAACAAAAAAGAAAGCAAAACAGAAAGAGAGAGAGACGACGTTCAATGTTCACTCACGCATCACATACTATTCTTTGCCGTTTTTTTTAACAACATTCCATCACATGAAGCAAAAATTATCTACGTAAACTGCAAGTTGAAAAATTAGCTATAGTATGATATACCATAGTAAAGTTTCGTCTGGTTACAAATCTATCTACCTCTCTCTCTCTCTCTCCATACACACACACACACACATTTCGCTCACATTTAGACGGTAAAATATACACAAGAACACCAAACCAACTGTGGCATGATTAAGAAGCATGACAACAGGATTGAAGATGAGAAGGATTTATTACGCGAGTGGTCTGCGATTCGATATCCGGCTGACGCACTCGTAAACCTTGCATAGCCGATAGTCAGCCCGATAAAGAAGGAAGCTTGAGCTAGGTTAGCAACCCCAATCCGTAAAAACAGAATAACACCACTGCCAGTGACAAACTTCAAAGCTCTACCTTGAAACCATCCATGTATGTCCCACTCGGAATGTGAAACGAATAGAAATAAGACAATTAATACTTCAGTCAAGAGAAGACTTCTTTAAATAATCAGACTTTTTACTTTCAAGAGTTTCATCACAGATTAAAATAAGACTTAGAGGGCCAGGTGACCACGAATTGACAGAATTCTGGCCCAAGTCAACGACCTTGTACCCTCGTAATCCAAAGGTGTTGGATTCTTTGGCTACAGGTGAGGTCATAGGTGAGTACTGCGCTGAAGAGTCCCAAACTTTAAACGAGACAGTTACCTATCCAGTTCAATACTCTCTGTCCTTCAATACTTCTCTAACTGACATTAATCTGTGATCAAAAAATTGCTACTCCTAGTTCACCAAAATAAGTAAATAAACACTAAGTATCTAAAATCTGTCTGTTTCTAAAATAATATATGAATTATTTCACAAAACACCTGTTGTCTAAGAGTTAGGCACAAACCTACACATTGATAAATAGTAAGTGGAATAATAAAACATCGGAACGCACGCAGCCAGTATCACGTGTCCAGTCTGCCATGTTGGTGATGACAAGTCAGTCAGCAGGACGCCTCTCCCACCTGGGTTTTGTGTTTGTTGGTGGTAGCAACTACCAGACTATTCTGGCTCACTACTGTTACCCTGTAAGACTATTTTGGAGACATTGATACACTGACTGCCCCCGACTATCTAATATATATATATATATATATATTGTAATCACTTGAAGTGGATTAATGATCAATATAAATTTAATAATTTCACGATTTGTTAGTATATTTCACTCTACTACCTATAACCAGTGTCTACTACTAATCTAGTGTTACAATAGCTAAAGTTACAGTCATTCCATTGTTGATATAAGTATAGCTGTTTGCATCAAGTTCAGCTTTAATAGTTTTCAAAAATATTTGGATGAATGCCGGATATACGATGTTCATACCAGAAAACACTTCTAATAGCGCTGAGTTGATAATCATTCTGTATTTGTAAGAGGCTAATTTACTATTGGGCTACTACTACTACTACCACTACTACTACTACTGGGCTGTAGTAATGCAGTATATTGTATATAAAGTCAAGTCTTCCTATGCAATGGCTGCTGGCTAAAGCTGGTCTCCTCAGGGTGCTGCACTCTCTTCCCCCATCACTCTTTCCTTTCTTCTTAAATATGACTTGCCTACTTCGGAAGAGGTCAACTTCGTTAAATATAATGATTACATGACTGTATCATTTGCCAGTTACGTCCCCATGTGGCTGTTCCAAGCTTAATAGCGTTTTGTCAGACATAAACCAGTAGTCTAAGGTAAATTGTTCTACGTTAAATCCCTCCTCGCATGTCAGATGGTTGACTTCACCTTCAAGCATATGCGTGATCTCCATGAATGGGTTCGTCCACGCAATCCTCATACCATCGAGGGCACTGAAATACAAACTAAGTCAAGCATAGAATACCTTGGAATAGTTTCCTCTCCTGACCTTCCTCGATCGTGCCATGTCTTGTTGATCCCTGAAAGATGTCCTGTCTGACCTACTACATTGACAAGTGAGGGCGATCACTGGAATCACTGGACCTCCACTTGTAGAATTTCTTCTCTCATGCATCTTATCTATTGTCGCTTGTTGCTGCCGCTTGGTCTTCCCTGGGCCACTCAAAAACGACTAAGTCATATTGAGGCGAGGGATATTGAAGCTCGTCAGTATGGCAAGTAGTGTGCCATCATTGGGTCAGCTAGTTAACACTTTAGTCGACAGACACTTGAAATCGAGAGTGGAATGGTTTAAATGCATATTGTTTGACCACCTGTATTCTCTACCCTCCCCGTCTGGCATCTAATCACGTCCGACTAGAAGTCATTACGAGAGATGATTTGCTCGTAAACGAAGTACGATAACTCAACGATACTCTAGTGAGCCTTCTCGTGGCAATAATGAATGACTCTTCGATTTCCTCCTATTTGTAATTAATGCTGGTACTATTTCAACTATCTCAGGACTCTAGTTATTGGCATTCTTATTATTATTTCAAACTTTTCATACAATTTCCACTTTATTATCATCACTACTCATACTGAAAAGCTGTTATGATCAATTTTGTCTACCGATACGATATAGTGTGCTTTTGTTTATTGTTTCTCAGGAAATTAGATGCAATAATGTACCAAATGCTGAGAACTGCACACTGTATCGTAATGTACTGCTTTGTGTAGTAAAGCAAATCATAATACTAATTATTATTATTATGGTTGACTGGTTTCAGTAGGTGCACACCATTCGTATAAAAACCGGTAGCCAACCAGATCATCAAAGTGATCTAAGCACCAGAAGGCCGTTTCGCTTGTTTAGAGGCCGAGGTCAGCTTAAGTGAATCGGCTCTGTGAACTAAGTTCAAATAGGTACACAGCTGATAAACTTGGCTTAAGAAAAGCGAAACAGCCGTCCAGTGTTTAGACCACTTCTATGATCCGGCTGCCTAGAAAGTAATACTGGTCGATACCAGTGGTATCAAACTACTTAAACCAGTAGAGATCAGTAGTACATGGCGCAATGTGTTTATGCTCAAGCAGATGACATATTTTGTCATCTGAAGTGACCTGTGATGCGATTTCACCCTTTAGAACTGTGCAAATCTCAAAAACAGCAGATTAATCAGCTCTGTATTCATGTCTAGAATGATTAGGCTAGTTATCTCAAGAATAATATTTAGGGACAGTAAATCTTTTCACGTATCGAGTGGTCCACAACGGAAAACTCAATGTAGCCTTAGAAGTGATGACAGGAGTAAGACAAAGCTGTGATGGACTGGATTATGCGATAGATTGTGCACAAGGAGCGAAAAGGCAAGAATATGTAAAGCCGACTACAGAACTCTAGAAGATCTGAACTTTGCGGATGATTTATGTCTACATGTAATGTCACAGAAATTCGAAGACCTGAAGGTGAAAGCCAACAGGCTTGCAGAAGAGGCTGACAGCCAGTGAACACAGGTGACGACGGAACTAATCACTATCAATCAATTCTTCTACATGGATCAAAAACTCGGTGTGTGCATCATGGAAAGCATTTCCAGCAGCCTGCTGCTGACCGGCTGGTAAGAAGAAACTCTAGAAAGCATCCACACAATCGACTGCCTATCGATCAACAAATATAAGGTAGAAAATGACGTTGGCTAGGATACAAGCTGGGGAGATCGTTAAATAGCATGGCGCATCAGGACATCACTTGAACGGAACAAGAATGCGAAACGACGCATTGGGTGTGGGTCTGAGAGTAATGTGCTGGAAAGCATGTGAGGAGAAGGAGGAGAAGAAAGCTTATGGGTAGTCGTGGGTTCAGTTGAAAAAGACTGTCGAGAATAGGAAAAAGTGAAGAAATCCTGTTGAAGCCCAGTTAGGGGATACCAACTCAAACTCGGGTTCAAAAAAGTAGAGAAACATTGAAAGTTTCAAAATGGCTTCCAAATGATAGAGGAATGCGTGAAATATATTTTGGTATCTGTGACCATGGGGTTTTGAGCTTGTTTAGGCCTAATAGCGCCCAGCTAGGCTGTCTTGCTTATTATTATTATTTTTTGAACCGCCCCTCTTTACTTCCTCCCTTCCTCTCACCTCCCACACCGCCCCCGTTTGTTGTTCCCCTTTCTTTATTTCTGTGTTTTCTTATGGGTTTAGGTTGTTTACTTAGACGGATTTTTCCTTTCCGGTTTTTTGGCTGTCTTGCTTATAACCCTAAAATCCTATAGTAAACACAGCATAAGCTATATAGGACGATATGAGCGTGAATTAGATGGTTCTCATGGTTTGCTTATATGGTTGTGTATGGTTTTCTATAGTCTTCGCAGACGTATAGAAAGCTATTTGCATGCTAAATTGGTTGGAAGGAATAACGATTTCATTGAATTTGGTGGCTTCTGGCTTCGTTTTTAGGGGCCTATTGTTACTATAGCGTCACCATGCGTGCTACTTTTTCGTATAATAATACGTTTGGCTAGTCTTGTATGCGAGATGAGTTCTATTGGGCTTGTCTATGCAGTGCATAATGGATTGACGCGATCAATGATCCGCATAACAATGCTTATCTATGCATTACTATGTATACTAACGGTGCGAATGGTCCACCGAGGGAGAGGGCTGTCGAGTGGTTGCGCCCCAGGATGATCCTGAATGCCGGTCTCGTCTCGCGAGAGGCGGGGATTGGTGTGTTCGGTTCTCCTGAAAACCAGTACCCAGTCAATGGGTGTATCACTGTGCGAATAAACTGGTTGATCCTGCCAGTAGTCATATGCTTGTCTCAGAGATTAAGTCATGCATGTCTAAGTACATACCTTA